TACGTCAAAGCCGACTACAAGCAGCTTCCGGGACAGGAGTTTTATACGGCAAAAGGAAGGGGAAAGGTAGCAGATGTTTTCAAGCACATGAAACTGTCAAAGTTCGCAAAGAAATATCTGGTTTGGCAAGCCATCTGTACCTGTGGCTTGAAAAGCAGCATTTTCATAGCTTCCGGGACTGTCAACCAAGAAATTTACGTGAAAGAGTGTTTGAATAAACGTCTGCTGCCTTTCCTGAAGAAACACGGTTGTTCCGTACTGTTTTGGCCGGATTTGGCATCTTGCCATTACGGTAAAAAGGCCATGGAGTGGTACGCCGCCAACAACGTGCAGGTGGTTCCCAAGGACAAGAACCCTCCCAACACGCCAGAGCTCCGCCCAATTGAGAAATACTGGGCTATTGTCAAGCGGAACCTAAAGAAGACCAAAAAAACTGCTAAGGGCGAGCAGCAGTTCAAGGCAAACTGGCTTTCTGCGGCGAAGAAGGTGGACAAGGTGGCTGTACAAAATCTGATGACAGGGGTCAAGCGTAAGGCCCGGCAATTCGGATTTGGAAAAGCGGAAGCCTAACTGAATATTTTTCCTGAATTTTATACTAATTGAACTTGAAAAAGAAATTTAATTTGATTTTTTAAATAAACGATTTCACCGATTTACACGCGTTTTCCCTTGACCAAATTTTGACCGTATCACCCTTTAATATCAAAACATTTTTGTTAATAATTACCTTGGAATTTGCTCAGAATCATCATACACGGATAGAAATCTCCTTATACCTTTTGGCAAATTTCTATTGTTGATTATTCATAAAATGTATAAGTCAACTAATAAGCAGACGCCTTGCAAAAAGTTAATGAAGATCATGTGTCAAATGAAATGTATAAGCGGTCACACATACCTTTTATGCATTCTTATAGGACCTATGTGGTTTGTCTTATGGAACGTATAAGGTTGATGTTTTGGCAAAAATGTATAAGTGAAACACATGAATAAAATAATTGATTTTAGTTTCGTGTAGGATTCTCCTTATACACACAAGAAAAAAAACCCCTGGAATTCCCTTTGAAACTCTTATGAATTTCCTTGGAGTCCTCCATATAATTCCTTTTATATTATCTTTTATATTCAATTCCTTTGAAAATGTTCTCAACATTTTAATCATATTAGTCGTCAGGAATCCTCTTGAGTCTATACCTTTGGAGATTATCTTCAGAACTATTTTCGTCTAAGTTCTCTTGGAATTATCCTTAAAATTCACTTGCTATCCTCCTAACGATCCCCATAAATTCTACTCAGAATCAGCTACGAATTCTCTTTGAAGATTTTTTCACAACTCCCATGGAATTATTTAGCAGTTCCACGCCAAATGACAAACCGATCAAAATCGGCCTTCTCCAATTTGCAAGGAAATTATTTGTAATGGGCAATTATTTACATTTGTTCTAAATTCGACCATTTTGGATCTTGTAATTAAAAAAAAATGCGTAGGGTAAACGCTCCTATAGTTGCGGTACGTTAGAAGCGTTAGGTTCCTATAGTTGTGTATGGAGACTCCGTACACAACTATAGGAACCTAACGCTTCTAACGTACCGCAACTATAGGAGCGTTTCCCCTACTTGTAATTTTTCTATTAATCGGAGTGTTTAATTGAAAAATTTAAATTCTTTTGGCGCCATTTCTTAAGACTTTCAATGATATTTTGGTATCAATGTTTTTAAAATCTATTGATAAATTGCAGAGTAATGATTTTTGAAACATTGCCAATTTGTCGTTACACAGCGTGTTCGGAGTGTTAATTGTTGCATGAAAACGTCACTTCTAATCGAAATGACATCTGAGGCAAAGTTGTAGAGAAAAATAAGGTCTTTCTAGGAAAAATATACTCGGTAATTGTTTTTTTTAATTTTTAGTAAAAATCCATGTGTTAAAAAAAACAATTAATTTATCGTGTATTATGCTGAACAAAGCAGTGTTTTTGGACGCATCTAGTCAAACAGTTGAAGTTTGAAATCTTCCAGATTTATGTAGTTTTCCATTGTTAATAGCAGCATATTTTGAAGAATTATGACCAGAACAGAATTGGTTGGAGGCGAACCGGCACAGCATCGACTCCCATGTTAACATTACTTTATGTCAAAGTTAAAATAGGGGAAAAGTTGGCTTCGGCAATACCTTAACCTATTATCGTCAGGGGGTAAACAACGTTCTTGAGTGCTCAATTTTCGCATGTGGATACACTGTGTTTCAGAGCAACTATTGGCCAAATTTGAGTGCTCTAGGACTTTGTTTACCCCCTGACGATAATAGGTTAAGGTATTGCCGAAGCCAACATTTCCCCTAACTGATGTTGAGAACTTGTAACAAATCAGTAATCATCAATAAATCAAGTTCGCAACTTTAAATTTCAAAGTTCGACATTTCAAATATTTATGCTAGTGTTGGACCCTGAACAGTTCTCACGTTCCCTAATCTTCTTTTTAATCCCCTCCGAAATACACCCTGAACCATAAAGGTTTTTTTTTCTAAATCCAGAATCATATAATTTTCTAAGCATGAAATCTGTGTCCAGATGATTTGTTGATTTCAATACTCTCCACAATCGAAACGTTTGTCCGTTTGGTTCCACATTTGGACAGTCCGTTTGGCTTTGCTGGATTTGTCTTCGTCAGTCTGTGTTTACTATATCGTCTGTAGTTGACAGCTTTTTTGGATACGTCAAATTGACATCCGCATGTCTAACCTGGACTGTCTTCTTTTTTTTTGACTCTTTATTTGTTCCAAATTCAAAATAAATAACATTTCATTTTAACCTAGGTGCTCCAGCTACTACAGTAACTTACCAGCCTTAATTGTTATGATATATATCTAAATAATTTTACCAGTGGCGTCCCGTAACCTCACTTTTTACCTGTGCCTCAACTTTCTAAACCAGATTTAATGCCATATTCGGTTGAAAATACAACTTAATCTTCTAGTTTACTCGATATCTATCCATTGCAAGCAATCTTTTGATAATTGTTTATGTTTTGAGAGTTGGTGCACAGGTAGATTCTGGTTAAGGAAACGCCACTGGTTTTTACATTGTTCCTGCCTTGGCAATTCAGTATTTTAAACAGGTTTTTTTTAAACCTGCATGTCAGTATAACAATTTACATCTTAATACTTAAAACTAACACTAAGTCTTATCTCAGTATAAAGGGAATTAATCATTGTAATTGAGGATTGCAACGATTTTTGCCTGAAATTATTAATTATTTTGTTGGACATTTGTTCTAAAGTCTCAACATTCGAAATTCTATGTACTTCGGTAGTACTGTACCAGGGAGTCAACTTCAAAATCATCTTCAGAACTTTGTTTCCTTTGAAGTGCTTTTTTCCTGGTAGTGCAACGACTAGACCATATTAGCACAGCGTAAAGCATGGTCGGACTTAATTCACGAAAATCGAGTTTCTTCTTTATCCATAAACTATAAGCAATGGGAAGTTCCCATCCTTAATCACACTTAATCGGATATCAAATTACAATTCACAGTGCCACTTGAGTGAGCTCGAATTAATCGTTGGTGTCGACCGTATAGAGGCCACTTTACCCGAAGAGCAAAGCTAACCAACGCACGCGATTACGGTGCTTCGTCATAACCAAAATTACGTGATAGGTTGATTAGTTCAAATTCGATCATAAATCGATTGATTGAACACCAATAAACCTTCCAAATAGCTCTTTTTATCGCTGTTTAGTATCTTTATTGCTATTTTCTAACTGAAATTTCAATCGAATTGCAATGAGTTGCAACCAAATCCATTCGGTTCGTGAGCTGTCAATTGTCAATCTCCTCGGTCGCGGATTTTTCCATTCTCCAAAAAGTGGTAAACTGCAAATGCGTGACATTAGGCATTCTTTCGTCCTTCGAATCAGCAATTCACGGGGCTAAACAGCAAGAGATTGGTGTGTGTAGTGAGTGTTTGTGTGTTTTTTTTGTTGTTGCTAATTTCAAGTTCCACCGTGTCACTGTTGCCATGTCGCGGGAGTAGAAATTAGCATTGATCAATCTCAATGATCGGGGCGAGTGCAATTTTAGCCGCCACGCGAAAATGTGCGAAAGGATGCTAATACGCTTGATGTATTCACGAGTTTTTGCTTGGGAGCTCTGCGAGGTTTGATTCGGAAACGGCTTCACATATAGCGACGTCGAAATGGACTTTGTGAGATTTTTGTGTGTGTGTGTGTGAGAGTTGTTGATATGTGTGTCTTTTTTGTCAGAACGTGGCCTAACTTCCTGTGGAAAACTTGCTTTATTGAGTTGCTTAAAATTTGCTTTGACGGTCATACGTAACACATGTAGATACATTGTAGAAGAAGTAAAACAAAATTTCAGACGGATATACCTTTTGTCTTTGATTTAAGTTTTCTTTTAACACATGTTATCTTTCATTATTCATTCATTCCCTTCGCATCGGTACTACATTCGCAGGATAATAAAATAAATTAATTTAGATGCGGCAATTTGTATTGTTTTGAATCAATACAAAGATTTATACTTCTTATCACTAGTATTCACGTTGGCGCTCGTATTGTACACCGTTTGAATTAGAATATGCTGAATATCGACTAGCTATCTACTAATCTCAATGCTACCGTCTGCCGATTCGTCGACGCTCATGCACGTACCGGCTTCCACATATGTTGCTGGCTACAACAAACTTTCACCCTTGTTCGGTCGGAGTAGCGATAATTTTCGAAAACTAAGAGCGACTTTCGATCGAAAAATGCACACCTCATGGCAATTAATCGTATTGTTAAGCGTACGTGCCTGGTCTCTGTGGGGTTTGGGTCGTTAGAGTAATTAAATTATCGAAAATAATGCTTTAAATATCTGTTTACTTTTGACGTATATTCAAAACAAGTGCTACATACAATTGCTACATTGGTCAATTGGTATAATTAAACACCTCGTGTGCAAAATTCGTCTAATTAGTTATTTTTCTTTTCTCTTCGCAGGAGGTTACGTGTTGATGAATGGGGATGCTGGAAAAATGCCCACTTCTACCGCTGTGTATCCAACAGGTGCTGAAGCCATCATCACCGGTGGGATGGCCGGTTTGACGCTAGTTGGGGCACATCCTTCACAGACGACACACCTTGCCATGGCTCCTGCGACAGTTGTTCCTGCCGGCGTAGCTGTTGCCACCGATTACACCCTCATGAATGGCGGCGCCACCGCTTCGAACCAGAGCAGCAGCAACAACAACAATAACACAAACAATAGCAGTAGTAATAGTAGCAACGTGATGCTATCGAACGAACCGGCGGCAGGTGACTACTACACAATGAACGCCACCCAAGCGATGGCGGTGGACAACAGCAGTGCTGCTATCACTTCCTCGTCTAATCCTACGGTTACCACAAACAATAACAACAACAGCACTAGTAGCAATCAAACTAGCAGTCTAACTGCAGGCAGCACCAACAATAACAACATTAGTAGTAATGTTAGTAGCAGCAGCACACAGACAACAATGGGCAGCGGCGGCGCAGGTGGTCCCGTTGCTGCTGGCATTGTCAACAGTGGCGGTAACGGCGGAACCGCCGCTCCTACCGCCAACGCCACCACCAGCACCAGTGATACTAGTAGTACCGAAAACAATGGAATGCCTTTAGAGCAGCTGAAGCAGCAGCTACAGACGCAGCTCGATTACTATTTTTCGAGGTAAGTTTTGCTGAAACAATGTGCCATGTCTTGTATTTGAATTTCCGCCCGTTGTAGATCCTGGATTTCCAGAATCCAGAATGGAGTGATTCCAGGTCCGTGGTTTTCTAGATTCTCCTTCAAAATCCCCCGGACTTTGTACTTGCCCCGGAAGTCCCCTGGTCTTAGGTAAACCTGGGGTTCTTTCGGTTTGTCCAGAAGGTGCTCAGCTTTGTTTTCTAATTTTACCTGAAAGAATTAGAGGCTTGACTTAAATATCATCTTGCTATGTCATCTTTTTTATAAGCCCCAATTCCGGAATGGCTAATTAGATTCTCGAGACAGAGAAGATTTTCATTGACATTCTTTAGTTAGCTCCTGAAAGTTAACTAGACAAGGGACCTCCCTTAGCTCAGTCGGTAAAGGCGCAGCTACAAAGCAAGACCATGCTGGAGGTGGCTGGGTTCAATTCCCGGTCCGGTCTAGGAATTTTTCGGGTTGGAAAATTTCTCGACTTCCCTGTGCATAGAAGTATGATTGGCCTTTTTTTTATATCTTTATTAAGGAGACTTTCAGCCGTTGGCTGGCTCGTCTCCGACTGATTGGCCTTGCCACACAATTATACCAATGCAAAAATGGTGGTACAGGCATCGAAAGCTCTCAATTAATAACTGTGGAAGTGCTTGAAATGCGGAGAAGAAGAAGAAGAAGAAGAAGAAGAAGAAGAAGAAGAAGAAGTTAACTAGACATGCCCCGGAATGCCATTTAATATAACCTTCAAATTGTCTGGATTTGTTGGAGATATAATCGAGATCTCTTAATTAGGAACTGCCGCACACGTAGCAGGGGGCGCCAGTAAAACAATACAGTTTGAGGGTGTTATCTCAGGGGTTTTAAATGGAAATTAGGTTAATTTTGAGGAGGAATGATAGCACATCAATGTGTCCATAAGCTTTGAAAATCACTTCAAACTAAATAAACGAGATACCTTGATGAACATTTAAAAGAGATGGAATAGCCAAACGTAAACAATGGCTTTTATCGCAAATTTCTCGAGAATCAAAACACATCCAAGCAATCTAACACCAGCATCTGATAGAGCAAACTTCCTTTATCGAAAGGCATTGTTATGTCGTTTTCGTTTTTACGGTGTAGCACTGGTGTAGTGTAAGCAGGAATAAGCGCGAGTCTTTGTCAGCTCAACATCATTTGTTTGTAAACAAAGGTGCATCCTATATCTACACCCTAAAATATTTACGTGTACGGCAGTGTAGCACCGCAAAAAAGAAAACGACATTAGTTTGTGTGGGACTGTTTTGATTGTCTAGAAATTTACGTTTAAAGCCATTTTGGTTGTTTAGTTGTTCCGCCCATTTCAATTGTTGGTCTATTACATCGGTTTTAATCAGCTTCTATTATTATGACACGCAGTGTCATACTTGGCGTGCACAGTTGTGCCCATTAACTGCTCATTTGTTAATAACTTTCCACTCAGTTGTTGAAATTTAATTTAGTTATCTTTAAAGTAATTGATAGATTAGGATCATAGTTTACTGTAGACATGCAAATAGTAGGTAAATCTTATCATTTGAATCAACACCAATGAATTTTTACAATGCAACGCAAAATCAAATACAGTGTATTACTAGAGTTAAAGTCTCCTTTTAACCGTATCTATAACAAGCTTAAACTCCATTCTATCGACTGCTTCAAACAGAACTATGTTTCGTAAACTCTGTGAAAAGTGATTAGCAAATGAGCAGTTCGTGAGCAAAACTGTGTATGCCAAACATGCGTAGTGTAATCATCAATTTTTAGTTCACTTAAATGTATATTTACACCACTTTTTTGACATGAGTGAAATGTACAGTTTTCGATATTGCGCATTTTGCACCAAATTAAACTCCTGCGCTGAAACTATTCATCCGAATTTTTCCGCTCATGCAAAGAAAAAAATAATAAATTTCTATCACCATTAAAATGTTAAAATGATATCCCACTGTAAAATGTAGCACTATATTATATTGAGAATGTTAAATTTTTATGTTTACTGGCATGAGCGAAAAAAATCCGAGGGATTATTTCTGCACAGAATTCTGGTGCAAAATGCGTTATATGATATTAGACATTATTTTTTATTGTGTGCAGCAATAGTTCCAGGTTTTAAATCAGATTACACATTTGATCTTGTAAAGTGTTATTCACATTCAATTTAATAAATTTAAACAACTTATAGCTCCATCCGAAAACAAGAGCCTGTAGCAACATATCAAGAAGACTGGCAACACTGTCAGATGTCCTACAGTAATTTTTTTTACGTATCTAATGAATGAAATCCATGTGAATTTTACATAGCTTTCCTGTGATTACATAGCTACAAACTCCAACACTAAACCACACGATTATTATGCCAATGAAATACTGAAATCATTTAAAATTCATGTGATCGCATAAATGTTATGTGAAATTCAGATGAATTCCATTAATTAAATCATGTGCGTTTCCAATGGAAAATACATGAAAACTATTTTCGGTGTAAGGATAAAGGTGAAACCGCTGGATGAAAAAATGAGCACAAACCCAATATTTTGAAGCTGTCATCATTGTTTTAAAATTCGTTTGGAGCTTTACTGGCGTTATAGGCATCATAAAAATAATTTCTTCTACACTCAACTTAGCTGAAAATGAAGACAACCTTAACAGATAGGTCAACTACCTGAATGAATTTGAATTTTGGTATAACAACAGCACCGGTACGGATTTCTAAATCATAACCAATGTGCTTATCTATTGTACCGAGTGTTTGGTGTTGGTGTCGGTTCGGTTTGGTAGTTGCAAGCAACACCGCACCGTATTCACCAGTTCGCTGCACACGTTGCGGTTCTGATTTTCAGTACCGGTGTTCGTGTTCACAAGCATGATGTTTTGAATTCATACTGTTGTATGTTTATGTGCGTGGTGCGCATTATTCATAATTGCCAGTGATGGCAAATAACTAAACAGAATTTGAATTTGATGAATAGAATTATGCAGTGTCAAATCGAAATAGCAGTTTTTGAATACAGAACAACTATGAATTCAAATGATGTATTATGCAATGGTGGTATTTCCAGAATCGGGGTGACGTGGAGACCGGAAATCGACGACCAACGTCATCTTGAAATCCAATATGGCGGCTTCCGGTTATAGAAAAAAATGAAATACTGTCAAATACCCTTCAATATGGGTATTTCCGGAATCGGGGGATGACGTCTAGAGATCGGAAATCAATGTCTGACGCCATCTTGAAATCCAAGATGGCGGCTTCCTTTTGTAGGAAAAATGGGAAATACTAGCAAATACCCTTCAATATGGGTTTTTTTTTCGGAATCGAGATGACGTATATAGACTGGATATCAATGTCAGACGCCATCTTAAAATCCAATATGGCAGCTTCTGGTTGTAGAAAAACTGGGAAATACTGTTAAATACCCTTCGATATGGGTATTTCCGGAATCGTGGTGACGTCTAGAGACCGGAAATCAATGTCAGATGCCATCTTGAAATCCAAGATGGTGACCTCCGTTTGTAGGAAAACTGGGAAATACTATTTTTATAATCGGGATGACGTATATAGACCGGATATCAATGTCAGACGCCATCTTGCAATCCAATATGGCGGCTTCCGGTTGTAGGAAAACTGGGAAATACTACCAAATATCCTTCAATATGGTTTTTTTTCCGGAATCGAGGTTACGGGGTTGAGGATCGCTTCTGATTTTGACAATTTTGGGTTGGATAATCAAGCACTGATGAATATTAACAAACATTCGTTGATGTATAATGAACTCATTTGTTCATTTCGCTCGTACGTGACAGCAAAGATTTTCAAAACAAACGCAATTCATCTACACTGGGTTGAAGCGCTACTCCCTTGATTGTGCTGGCAAATGATAGAAACAGACACTGATAGGCATAGCTGGCCCATGTTCTATTCAATCCTGGGACACTTATGCTTATAACGCTAGTTTAATCTTAGGGCAATAGATAGTGAGCTTGAGTATGTCTTTTGGCCTACATAAGGCGCTATCCTTATACTACTTGGACAGTTTTTGAGAAGTTTAAGACCCCCTCCTCCTAAAGTGTACTGTACATCTGGTATATGGACAGCCTTTGAGAAAATTGAAGAGTTTCCAATCTTCTTGCTATGTGCAGGGTGGCCACTGAGCCGGAAAAAAACGATAATTTGGTTGGTACCTTAATGTATTTTTATCAGTGGCGTCCCGTAACCTCACTTTTTACCTGTGCACCAACTTTCATAACCGGATTTAATGCCATATTCATACTCGAATCGGTAGAAAAATACACTTAATCTTCTAGTTTACTCGATATCTATCCATTGCAAGCAATATTTTGATAATTGTTTATGTTTCGAGGGCTGGTGCACAGGTAGATTGAGGTTAAGGAAAAGCCACCGATTTTTATACCTCTGTGGGCTCTAGAAATATTTACATTATTATTTATTTTTTGTTTAGATATTAACTTATCTTAAGATATTCTTGCACAGAAAGTCCATCAGGGTGACTTCCTTCAGCTCTTCCTTCTCCGAACCTTGACCAACACTAGCAAAGAGTACCACAGTGGCGTCGTACCCGTTCGGTACCTTCCATGCAAGCACACACCAACCCTGGTTGCTCTTCTCCGTCAGATTTGATCGGTTTGAGTCCGGGGATCTTTCTTAGTTTTCGCACTGATTTTTAACCGGCATGGCCCGGTGACGTATGTGGAGGTTTTCTTCATCATGTTTATGAAGAACTGATCAGGGTTATGCATTCCATCTGAATACGTTTCAACTTTGGTTATTTCATCCAGATTCTGGCGATTGTCTTATTCTTCTTATTCTTAATTCGTTTATTTAACGTCTGTCTCTGTTTCGCAATCTAGTGCCAGTCGTAGACAGAAGAAAGACGTGACCAGAGATATGAGCCTCAGTAAAATCCCACCGACCTCGGCTGGGGTTGAATCCAGACCCATTGGGGGGAGATAAAGTAGTCACGCTTGCCACTACTCCACCGTCACAGGCTTCTAGCGATTGACCTTGAACGACTGCAAAAAAAATTTTTAGCATCATGTTTGTTGTGGAGATCTTTGAAAACTGCCCGTGGTTTCGAGAGCAGCCTCAATGATCGTTCAAATATATAGAAAGCCTATTGACGAAAAACCAAGAAGAAAAAGATGCCGCACGGCATGTTTTGGTGTAAACATGTCCGAGTGCGGCCAATGTGGTCAATGATCCATTTGAAGTTTATGGAAAGTTTATTTGTGAAAAAAAAAAACGTGAAGAAAGAGCTGTCGCACGGCATGTTTTGGTGTAAACACGCAATAATTGTACCCTGCTACAGGCTCCCCTGGGAGCATCCTTGTGGTTACAAGAGTGGCCAATGTGGACACTGATCCATTTAAAGTCTTTCGGAAGCCTAATCATGAAAAATCATGAAGAAAGAGCTGTCGCACGACTTGTTTTGGTGTAAAAATGTGATTGGCCCCTGCTATAGGTTCCCGGGTGGTATCCCGTGGTTCCGAGAGCGACCAATGTGGTCAATGGTTCATTTAATGTTTATGGAAACCCTAATAATGAAAAAAATATTAAGAATGAGCTCCCGCAGGACATGTTTTGGTGCATAAACGGAATTATCCCCTGCTACAGGTTCCCTCGGAAACATCCCAGAGGTTCTGAGAGCGGCCAATGTGGCCAAAGATCCATTTGAAATTTATAGAAAGTCTCTTGATGAAAAACCATGAAGAAAGAAAGAGCTGTCGCACGGCATGCATTGATTAAACTTGCTGTTGTCCCTTGCTACAGGTACCCCCGGGGGCATCCCTATGGTTCCAAGAGTGGCCAATGCGGTCACTGGTTCATTTAAAGTCTATCAAAAGCCAACTAATGGTAAAGCATAAAGAAAGAGCTGTCGCACGGCATATTTTGGTGTAAAATACATTTACCCCTGCTACAGGTTTCCTCGGAGGTACCCCGAGATTCCGAGAGCGGCCAATGAGGTCAATGATCCATTTAAAGTTTATGGAAAGCCTATTCACGAAAAAACGTAAAGAATGAGCTATCGTAGCACGGCATGTTTTGGTGTAAAAATGGAATTGTCCCCTGCTACAGGTTTCCACGGGGGCATCCCGGAGGTTCTGAAAGCAGCCAATGATGATGCATTGAAAGTCTATCGAAAGCCTATTGACGAAAAACCATGCAGAATGAGCTGTCGCACGGCATGTTTTGAGTGATTAAAATATCTGCCCGCATTCAGAACCAGGGTGCCTTCCATTCATTTTGACTAAAAAAATGTTTTATGAAATTATGGAATAATAGGATATTATGATGATATTTTGTATATGTAAGTAATAAGAAAAGATTGTAAAGTTTGTGTTTCGCACATCAAATCTGCAAATTTAGCTTTGACAGAGTCATAATGAGCGTTTTTCTGATCGCCTCTTCGCGAAGAGTGAAGAGCGAAGAGTGGGTGAGATAAATTATAAAATCGCTTATTGCGACTCTCATGTAGCAAAATTGGCAGGTATTATGTGTCAAACACAAACTTAACAATCTTTTCTTGTTGTTGACATAATCAAAATATTTTCATAATATCTTATTATGCCATAATTTCTTAAAACATTTTTTAGTCAAAATGAATGGAAGGCACCCTGTTCAGAACCCTCCATCAGAATCGGACCATATCTGACGAAGTTACAATACTGCAAAGTTGACCAAAAATATGCCTATCCTAGTTATTTTGAGTATCCCCTGTATATCCCTGTTTACTGTACGCGGCATGCAAGCCGACCACCATTAATCTACACTCAAAGAATAAATCACATATCCAATGGAAACGTGCCTTGAATTCCTAGAAATTATCGATAGAAGTTATTGTTTACAAAAGCTGATACGGCCTAATTCCAGCTCTATCTAGATATGTACACTCATAAAATAATTCACATAACCAGTGGAAAATATCCATTTGAATTTCACATAACTTACATGTGGTCCCATTATTGGAAATTGCACCACTAAATCACATGAACTTTATGTGTCCAATGAAATCTATATGATTTCTCATATAGAATTTCTTATGCTACGTGATATTCAGATAAAAATAATTATTTTTGTTAATGGAAAAATATTATGTGCGTTCCTAATAGAAACTAAGTGAAAACTTTTTTCAGTGTATCTACATATACATCGATCGAACAAGATTGTTAACCATTACAAGGCTAGCACCTTATCCGCAGCCAATTCGTTTGCATTATATGCAGATGAAAACAAAATTTGTTAAATGGTACATTAGTAGCTACCATTCTCCGGCCGCACATTGCCTCCGGGAACAGCTAGTAACACTATCATTACACACATAGGACACATACCATCTCAGAGTGGTGGCACATTCCTCAGTAATAAGCAAGCAAAAGATTAGACAACTTAGTTAGCTCCACACCCGAGCTTGTTTCATCGCTGCCAAGTCAGAGTTCTATAAGTGTGCTTAGGAAACTAAGGAAATTGCTACCTGTCGAAAGCGATTACCACCGATGAAGTGATGCGGTGATCCAATGGCAAATAACTTCCACCACCATATTGCATTGATTGGGGCTGTCGATGCCATGCCAGACTAGCTAAAAGATATTGATAATTGATAGGGTTAGGGGATCTATTTTGGCTTGTGCTTCTATTTTGGGGTTCGAGTTTATTTGCTTCCTTGTCACTACAACACACAGTAAACACATACCAAAAGTTAAAACCCGAAATTTTGGTCAATTTCAAGTGTCCAATGTTCGAAAAACTTGCTTTTTTTAAGTATAAACTTGGAACAAGGACATTTTAAGAAATATTTAAGTTTTAACACTTTTTTGGGAATTTACTCAAAATTACAAAACAAAAATTACCGTGTGTATTTTTGCTAGAAAGACTTTATTTTTCTTTAAAGCTTTGTCTCAGAGGTGACATTTTTGTGCAACAATTTAATAAAAAATGTCAAAGTCGCAATTTTGTAATCAAAAATACAAGATCCAAGAATTTAAGCACAAACATACAATTATGGAGAAGTTCCAGTCAAAAAATCATATTTTTTTACTATTTGGCCTGGAATCGCTCTATGTTCAAGTTTTCACTTTGAAAATTGGCGATGGTAGGGCGTTTGGTCTAAAGTCGTTTGGCATAATGCATACAATTTTGAATATAAAAAAATTGTGAAGAATTTCTGAAGCTTCTTTCGAGTTCGACTGTTTTTGATGTTGAGAGTCAATATGTATGTTAATATGTTAAATGATTATGCCAAACGTCCATTATGCCAAACGGTCTTAGGTCAAACGTGGCACAATCAAAATTGGAATCTTCTAACGGAAGTGCTCACAAATGAAAGCACAATTCATACGATCGCACCCGTCATGCTTAAATTGTATGAATAAAAATTTAATATATAGTTGCTTTAACTGCCGAAATTATCACCTTTTCGGGGGGCATCCATGCACTATATTTATGCTCATGTTCTCTCCGGTTGTTGTCTTCGGTTCTCTTTCATCCAGTAGGTGACAGCGCAACCTTGGACCGGCAGTGTGGCACTAGGAGGAAACTTTTTCGTCTCTTTCTTCGATCCGATATTGGAGGGAGGAGGGTTACATAATAATGCCAGAATGGAGCGTAGTACCATATAATTTAACATTACAAGAGCCGCGCTTGAACAACGCATCATACATCGCTATTATCCGAAGTTAATAATGATTGCCGGTTCGGCGATGTTTAGTCAAGTTCGGTCTGGTTAGTTCATGGAGCCGATAAAGAGAAACGACTGGTAGGTAATTGGGTGCACCCGTGTGTGTAGCTATATATCGTGCCTCTTGAGAACCGTGCCCGGCGAGATTGTGGTAATTTAAAATCAATAGGGGTTTATGTTTAACGGAATATGAAACAACAATTTGGGGAGGAAATTCAGTAAATCATTTAAGGGTGTTTTGTGGAGAGTAAATTTATTAATATTAAGAATCTTTAAAAATATGAATACTGACGGTGAGTTTTAATCCTTCTTACTAATTTTGATTGCTCCTAGACCACTGACCACTTCACCGTGGGCGTCCTGAGCGGGTAATGTCATCGTGACTGCTCAGTATGATTTCCATTGAACTTATTTTTGAATTCTCATGTGATTTGACGTGTCGCATGAGGGTATTACACGGGTTTGCCTTAATTTTAAAACCAGTCTAACAGGATCAGGCACCAATGCTCCAATTCGACCGCAAAATCAAACCACCACTGTACTGTCTGCAACACTTTAAGACACTCCACGATCGTACGATCGCAACGATCGTGAAATCGTCTCATTTAAATTGCGTTTCCTCATCAATAAGCTGATTTGCGCGTTCCCACGACGACAAGTGCGCTGCCGTTGTCGCCGTCGTCGTCGTTGAGACGGCAACTGCAAGCAAATTGTGGTTAATAGCTGAACGACATTGTAGTTGCCTGCGGTTGAAACCAGATATTTCTTGCCCGTCCCATGGCCGTCACGCGGCTGGTGGCTCTCCCCAAAGATTTGGAATCAAATCATGCATTAGCAATTGAATTCATTTACGTCCATTTACTAACCTGATCTTTTCTCGTCTCCTACAGAGAAAATCTAGCCAACGACACATATCTGATATCCCAGATGGACAACGATCAGTACGTGCCGATCTGGACGGTGGCCAACTTCAACCTGGTGAAGAAGCTCACCAAGGACATCAAGCTCATCACGGATGTGATGCGCGAATCGCCTAACGTGCAGGTGGACGAAGAGGGCCTCAAGGTGCGACCGAACCACAAGCGTTGCATTGTTATCTTACGCGAGATACCGGACAACACGCCGATCGAGGAAGTCAAGGTAAGTTCTGGGGAGCTGTGGTGTACGGTTGATGGATGCTAATCAAGGTTTGAACAATTGCAGAACATATTCCAAGGTGAAAACTGTCCACGCTTCATCTCGTGCGAATTTGCTCACAACAATTCCTGGTACATTACGTTCGAATCGGACGATGATGCACAGCGTGCGTTCCGGTATCTGCGGGAAGATGTTAAGGAATTTCAGGTGAGTTGCTCGTTGCAGTATGGCGTAATTTGTGTACTTAAAAATTCACACCCCAATCTTGCCAACAGGGAAAACCAATCATGGCTCGAATAAAGGCCAAACCAATGAACAGGCTTCCGCTGGCTGCCGGAGTACCGCTGAAGAATGGCTTCCGAACGACACCGCCACCGCCAACCGGTGCCGCGGTGGCTGTTCCGCCGGGTGCTGGCGGTGCTTCTGCAGCCGCTGCTGCTGCCGCCGCCGCAGCTGCAGCAGCGGCCGCCGTCTACGATCCCGTGCAAGCCGCAGCTGCCTTTCCCGGCCAGCAGCGGTACATTACACTGCAGCCGAACCCGAGTGCGATACCGCAGGGAACCGCCGTGCCAACGTACAATGCACCAGTTCACATGTTTGTAAGTATCGCCCGTACCTTCCGCCCAGTGGGGCAACAATCCAAAACCAAAACCTCGTGGGTATGGATCCTACAGATTAGCAGACTTCGACAAAGTTGTTTATTTTACAAAGAGTCAGATGTCTGATTAGTTCGTATTCCTGCCGCATAGGTGGCATTCGCATCTATATTTTGAACAAAGTGTCATACAAGGATACCTTTATAAAAATGTATGGGCTGTCTCAAAATTTATGATAATTGGGAAAAGTTTAAGAGGGGGGTTGACAATTATGCACGGCCCAAACAAATTTTAAAAATTTTGTATGGACAATTGTCAATAATCAAAAAAAATGTCTACGTAGTTTATGAACAGCCCCTTATGCTTACACTTCATCTGAGCTAACAACGTAAAACAATTGTGATAATTATTTTCTTGAGGAAATTTTTGGAAGCCGAAATCTCACTTTAGGTGAGTCACAGGTCTTGTCTTCGACAGCATTTCTCAGAACTATAAAATGCACAACTTTGCCGAAGAAACAATCTTTCTAGGACCCCCCCCCCCCCCGCTTAACAGATAGATTCGAGCGCCATCTATGCGGCAGGAATACGAACCAATTAGGAACCACCAAAAAGTTGACCCTAATAAACTGAGCATTTGAGCAACTTTGTCCAAGACTGCAAATCTATATTATGCATATCCACGGCGCTAGCGGTTTTGGCCACGCTACCGGGTACACTGTCCCACTGTCAATTGTATGAACGAAAAATGGTAAACAATTGTAGATCGTTTTGTGTGAGTGAAAGTGACTTTGCGGCACTAGGGGCCAATTTATTGACCTGCGCTTAACTCTTAAACCAGGTTTGCCCACATGATTAAACCTGGTATAAGGGGGCCTCATATCCTAGTCAGTAAAGGCACGGTATTACCAAGCCGGAGGCGGCGGGTTCGATTCCCGGTCCGGTCGAGGGAATCTTTCGGGTTGGAAAGTTTCTCGACTTCCCTGGGCATAGAGTATCATTGTGCTTGCCACACAATATACAAATTCATGCATTGGTATTGGCATCGAAAGCTCTCAATTAATAACTGTGGAAGTGCATTTAGAACACTAAGTTGAGAGCACGCAATAAGCTAATATGCGCTAAGCAATAAGCTTGAAATGCGAACAAGAAGAAGAAGAAGGTTTAAGCGTAGGTGAAGAAATCGGCCCTAAATCTAGGGAGAACATTACCCGAGATCGTTGGGGTTTTCTCAGGTGAAAAATGTTGGTCAAGTCTTTCTTCGTAGTGGCCTCGGCGACAAGTAGTTGATGGCTTAATTCTTTACTTCCCATGGTTACTCTAGAGCTCCACATTTTCGGAACGATTTTCCAGGCCTTCTGAGGAGGCACTTCATGCCTATCTACAAAACTTGAATTTGCCAGTATGTGGCATCTTAAAAATATGATTCAAGGACCGATTTCTCCACCTGCGCTTAAGCCTTAACCAGATTTAACCAAATGGGTAAACCTGGTTTAAGAGTCAAGCGCAGGTGAAGAAATTAACTATTCCCAAATCGATGGAATTCCTTACAATGAAAATGAAACTCAGAGAGTGAGACAGTTTTACAGAGCTGAGATAGACACGAGTGTCACGATCTTTAGGACGCCGCAATCTCCATATAGTGGATCATCTGAGTATGTCCAGAGCGGAGACAAAAAAAAAATCAGGTGGTCCTAAAGGATTGGAGAATCCTGCCACTTTGTGGTTTCCCCTTTAATTTTTCTTTTCGGAGGAACGTTCTCTTTTGGTGGCCCATTTCTGGACTCAAGCGTTCCTAAAGATGAACTTCACCCAAACCTTGATATCAGATCAACTAGTAGTCGCAAGATGGTCCGCTTCACAATTCCCCCGGATTTTACAGTGCCCGGGTATCCATAGGAAGGTAGTGTTCGACGGAGATTTCATTTGGATCCCTTGTCTCGCTGTTAGAACACTTGCAGAGTCTGGAAGAATACAACGCAGTTTGCTGTCGTGCATGGTACCGGTGTAGAAGATTGCTCCACTTTCCTCAGAGAACATGAAGCACTGGTCCGGAAGTCACAAGAAAATACGGGCAGTGGGATCTGCAAATCCGAAGCCGATTCCTCCCGCGGCATTTGAACCATCCGTATGTCTGTGATGACGATCGGTGTGTTTCGTTCTGAGCAGCTCTGTCACATATCCGTGCATTTCCCGCGAATTGTTACCGGCCTGGAATCGTCTAGCAACTGAGAGGTCAACGTGGAGGTTTGGCTCTACCCATCACCTAGCTCCGGTCTAGTGGAGCCTCGACACTGAGGAGCAGTGCTGCAAAATCTCGACAATACACGGTGATATTGACAATTCTGCTTTGGTCACTCATTTGAGCTTTGACAATTGACATGGTTTGCCTTTACTGTGACTGGTGCTGTCAGTGACGAAAATACAGTCCCCCAAGTAGATTGTTTTAGTAACTAAATTTGTAACAAAATTAAATGACGTGAGCAACACGATTACATGGAGCCGTTAATGTGAACAAGTACACTTTTTGTTACCAAGTGAATCATTGTCATTGACGAAAAAATGAAAGAGATTTTAACGTAGGTTTTTTTTTAAGATCAAGTCTGTCAGTGACTATGTGAAGAACAATTTTGTCAATATCGCGCAAAAGTCTGTCAATGACAACGACGAATGTCAGCACTGCTGAGGAGACAGATTTCTTCGCTCCCAGCAGTCTTCTCCAGATAGCATATTGTTCTACTCATTAGGGTCCCAGCTACTCGGTACTGAATTCAACACAACACGCAGAATAGGGCGGTAGAAGCCCAACCTACAATACGGATGGCTTGATTATAGGTAGAACCTAGCCGCGCGGTGAAGAGGTCGCTAGCGGTACAGAAGATCTCAATTCCATAGAAGATTTTAGTGTTGACGATGGCTTTTGCAACCCTAAGGAGAATGTTCCTGTTGTTACTACGATGAGGACTGGGAAGCTTCCGGAGCTAAGTCTTGGTGCAACAGCTGTTCCTTACATTGTTAAAATGAAGAACGCAGCTTAACCGTCCGGTCCAAGTATTGTGATCGTCTTTCGGAAAGGTATTGCGGTACCATCACATTTGATGGCTGGTTGTAATAGACGGGCATATGTGGGAGACCATTCAACCATGTAAATCTCCTTTGGAAAAGAAGCCCCGAAGCTTCAAAGCTTAACGAAGGATTCCTGTAGCTTCCGCTCGAATTAAGGAGCAGTATGCAGAATGTGGCCAAGCAGCCCCCAATCGTCTAACTGATGGATGACCGGGGTGTCCAAGCACGGTTATACGCGTTTGCTAGGTCCAGGGACGCGGTTCCATGAACAGGTCTGAAGGCGTCCGGCCGGTTCTCAAAAAAATCGTATAACCCTCTCCTTCCCATGGTAGCACAGGTGATCCACCATTTTTGGTCCGTCTCATGTTTACCAATCTATCATTATACAGGGTGTTTGGTTCCGGGTTTTACATATTTTCAGGGTAGATAGGGCTCCTAAAGTTATGAAAAAATCCCCATGGAACATAGGGTCGGAAATGACTCCTAAGTGAGTTATTCAACATTTTATGTTTTTTTGTATTGCCAACTTTGGTTGGCTATATTTTTTTAATCTTAATGTGGTTTTCTGATTTCAACATACCAAATGAAAGAATAAAGTCTTAGCTATCAATGCTTTCTAGAAAAGAACTCGATTAAAGTTAATTATCATACATTAAAATTGAAAAGTATGTTGAAAGTACCGAAAAAACTGGTGAAATTTCATACATTTTAGTGTTTTTAAGTTGAAAATTTTCATTTCTGTTTATTTAGTTGTTCTACAAAACATTTTCCATGCAGTTCCCTAGATTTGTGCCTTTGGTAGTAACCTTGTAGGCTTTATGGTTTCTTCGTAATTATTGATTTAAAACAGCCAGAAAAACTTGTGACGTTTTCTTAAAATGCGCTATAGTCACCCTATTCGTTCGTACGTTCGGCTGTTGCAATGGACTACGCACATGAAAATTTGGTAGAATGTTATTGTAAATGTTTAGCTACATTCTTAACTTTTGATTACCGCACATCTCCTGCGCCGAAAGAAAACATAACTGCGGAGATGTTTCGCGGTATCGAATATTGCTCAGTCTCAGCAGAAAACACAACGAGAGACACCGAATCGGCGAATTCTGAGAGCGGAAGGGAGAGAAGTAGGTAGTGGTAATAAGTCGATGTCCTTTTTATTTCATAGCACTCGCAGCTCAGCTGCGGTGCTGTTTCAATGGAGGAGTGTGGAGCTCCGCTGCTTCTGTATACACACTTAGATTTTTTTTACTGGAGTTAATATTTTTACTGGATTTTTGGATTACTGACTCGGTTAAAATTCAAATAACTATTATTCGTAAAGATTGGATAAAATCGAAAATGTTTATTTTTCATCATTACACGGGGTTAACAGAAGTTAGTCTGTAAATTTTCGTAACACATTTTCTCAACTTTGAATTTTTCACAGATTTTTTAAATTTTACCAAAGAGTTCCGCAATTCAAAAACTCGGTAAAAATTACTGACTCGATAAGTGTGTAGGGTAATTGATTCTAGTTGGACCTATCCAAAAACTGATGATGGTTGGACCTATTTTTTCAATCGCTAGTTTAGTCAATCTCCGCTAATTTTTTATTTTCAAAGTTCAATTCACTATCATAAAAAACTCTTTTTCTTCAATTTGCATGGGTGTTTTATTGAAAAAACTTCAAAATAGTTGAGTTTCAATGTGTTTTCAAAACAGTTCACTTTCCACGCATTAGCTCGTCATCATGCCTTATTTTCAAACATACAAAAAAGGAATATTTTTTACATTTATTTTTATTTTCATGCAGTAAAATACTGCTTTAAGGTGTAAACAACACGTTAGTTCGCCATTTATCCATTGGTTTCACTAAAATGTTTGAATAATTGACGAAATTCGAATAGATAAATATGATCATGGTTGGACCTACGCATGATGATGGTTGGACCTATGTGT